AATGCACCGAAATGACTAACGATCTCTTGCCTGTCTGTCTGTCTATCTTCTCTCGCACGGAATAGTATCTGATTCGTATTCATTTCTTGCAGAATGGGGTTAAGGACAAGTTGTTAAACAGGACACAACGAGAAACGACTGGAGCGTGTGGTGTTTAATTGTTTTCTTCGTCAGGGTTGGTGATTTTAATGCAGATATGTTTATGTACAAGGGGTTGGGTTACGAGTTAATTTTTATCGAAATATTTCTGCAAGTCTGACACTAAACGGGATAAAGGCGATAAACATGTCTCACTTGTTCATTGGACATCTAATGGACGGAAGAGTGGTCTTTTACTGTTGATGTGTCACACGATTGAAGTCAACCTGAAAGGCTAGTAATTGATCGATTCATTTCCTCTTCGGGAGGTTCACAGATTTTTAAACCATTTTCAAAATTGTAATTAAGTAATTGAATAACCTTAGTATCTTAATGTTCAATTAACTGTTGACTCGTTTTGAAACAAGTTAATTAGCGATTCATCGTCTTGGAGTAGTCGAAGTTGAACGGCACAACACGTCGAATTAACATGGTAAATTGTAGTGAGCCGTAAACGGGAGCAGGGCGAGAGTTCTTATCCCTACATCTATTCCGTCCGGATTACGCATACTAATAAGCCCTGGTTGCGCAACCTGAACTTGACGTGCCCACGTGATCGATCGGGCGTCCCCTTTTTTTTTCGCTTCAGGTGGGTTTCAGCCTTTGGAGCGGTTTAGCCACACACGACGGCAGTTAATGTAATGCGCGAGGCACGTAGGGCGCTCATGATCCTGTATAATTTACACGGTCGCCGACGTAAGAGCCTGAGAATTACGTGCCCGTGAGATGTTTACTCGTACTGTTTCTATCAGAACAGAAAATTTACGTTCTAAATCAAAAAACGGTTATTAATAAAAAAAATAAAAACTGTATTAATTTTATTGTTATTATTGGATTACACATTGTTGAATGGACATCGAAATTGAATGGAAACGATGAAACGTAATTTTCAAAAAGGTTAATGACATACCATTAAACCGTATAAAAATAAAAATCGTATCCACATATTATTATAGTTCGAATCTTATTATGCACAAAAATTAATTTTCCCAGCTATTACATCACCGATTGCTTTTTTTCTTATTTCGGTTCCGTCACGGTATTCAGTTCCATTGTTGCTCCGGTGTATTTGTTCTCGATTGAATCGATTAAAATTTCAATAACTCGATCTTAAGAAAAAAAGCCGAATTACCGCTTCGTTCGTCAAAAGAGAGCAGATCACAAAAGGCACAAATTTAATTTGTTTTGCGCATATTATGGGCACGGCATATCCCGGTCAAACACGAACCATTTAATTAGAGATAAGTCGCTGGTGTTCCGCGGTCTTATCCGTTTACAAGACGGTTGTAAGTCTGATTGAGCGTACACATCGACACCGTATATGGATGCGATACTTCACCGAGATAGCTGTTGTACTTCTAAACAGAACTCATGAGATCCTCATTTCGTTTTATTTGAACACAATTCTATTTCATATTTCTTGTGGAACAAAAGTTTACTAAAGTTAACCAGGTCAATGAGAATGAAATAATATCACGTCGTATCATCGTTCTTATCACAACGGTAATCATAACCTCGTGAGTCGACCAATTAACACAAGGATAATTAAATTTCCCTATATGGACAAACCCGACTCGTACTCTATTTTCTCCGGTTCTATTTTCTAATCTGTGTGCTTTAATAGATTTTATTTCATTAATTAATGAAATATAGCAAAACCTCGAAATAACGGACTAATACAGGGAAGGAGGGGAAAAATGTACTACAATCTAAAGGTATGTTCTCATCAAAGATATACAGGGGAATATTTTGTTCCTGATTATCTTAAACTTTCCGTCTACATTAGGTTAGTGTATGTTTCAGTATTTGATATAAAGAACTTTTGTTGTATGAGTAGCACTGATTTGGAATGGTTATTGCGCAAAATTAGCCCTTTAATTCAAAAGACAGACATTCATTACAGAGATACTATTTCTCCGTTGAAACATATACTGACGTTAACAGTATACATGTAGGCAAACAGTTTAATGATAAAATATGTTCCAGCACCAGATTTGCGATTATATTTTTTTTTCCCTGTAATACTGAGCCACTAAACTTTTTATTTTTCTTGTTACTTCATCAATATCAGCCCCAATCGCTTTGCTAATCTCCTATAATTGTTTACTATTTCTTCTTGGCGATTACCACTAACTCAATTTAATTATAATACCGAACAAATATTCTTTACCTCATATCCAACATTTAAATCTACATTTAAATTGCAGCCTATTTTCTAAAGTAAACCTCGTTAAGCATATAACCAAATTTCAATTGCTAATGAAGTCATTTATATTACAGCAATTACTACACCTTTTGGTCTTTTTAAAATCACGCGAATCCTTTTATGTTAAGAAACGCTGTCCAGACATTTCAAAGCTTTATTTTAATAAAGTTACGTCTGATTTAAATTTAGAAACTGATACAATGACAATCCTTGATATGTTCAGGAACTTCAGGAGTTATTTCCATTCTCGTATTAAATAATCTACCACATTCGTTTCAAACAAAATTTAAGTTTTAACTTTTAACAGTTATATCTCTTATTGCTTCATGAATTCAGGCAATAACTTGATCGACTCCGACGTATGTTGTGAAATGTACTTTCAACAAAAAAAATGTTGGGGTTAAGTCGAAATGGTGATGTTGCCACAATATTAATCCACCCTACCATATTCATTTATTAAATATATAAAAACTGAAAATTTCCCTCGCTCATTAATGTACCATGTCACGATGATGGCATGAAACGCATTTCCAAAAATCATTGTTGTACGCTGTTGCAAGAGAATGTTCTTTAAGAACTAAGAAACCTGGAAAAGTGTTTTCGCAAAAATTACTGGATGTTTCAGCATTCAGTATTTTTGGCACATTTGTAAATTCTAACCAAACAATCTTAGACCAACGTCTTTATAATATGATGATTCTCGTAGTGCCAATAACCACGTTTGTGGGGATTGTAGACATTATAGATACAGTCAGGATTGTGGTGAATTTCGTGCATTACTTATGTGCAAAATTTACTTTCCATAAATCATCTCCGGGATACAGCAATTGAAATAAACATTATTCGACATGAACTGCTGGCAGAGTTTAGCTACTTGCAGTAACAATGCATCGCAAAAACCATTTTGAGTATGTGTCAATTAATCATATGCTTTGGTTTACAATCTGTTCACTATTTCATGTAATTAAACGTTCATAATTTGCTCAAACGTGTATCAGACAGTGTATATTTTCGGTAGACCACTGGAACGACATATTTTCTGTTTTTAACAGATGTTTACGTTGTAAAAGTCGCCACTAAGTACACAAGTTACGGAAACAGGTTACAACGTGTCCACACTTCGTCCGAAACAAAAATGTTTATATATGTTTTTAAATTTTCTAATGATATTTATCGCTAAATACAGAACTAAGCAATGTGTAGGTAGGAACATTAGTTCCTGCAACAATAAGCAATAAGGAACATCCAGAAACTTTGACATACAAGTTCCAGGAACAAGCAACATAAACACAATGTTTCTTTGTGGTCCTTTCTGTGTGGATGTAGCTTAACGCTGAATAACAAATAAAACTAGAATTAATACTAGCCGTACGTCCCTTAAGTCGGCTAAACCCGAATGTTTCTAATTCTAACTTTAGTTCATTGAAAGATATACAACAATCTAACATTGAATAAAAACTAAAACGAAAACTAACACTAGCTAGAAGGTCTTCTAGGTCTAATGTTAGTTTTACTTTTAGTTCAATGCAAGATATATAACAATCTAACGCTAAATAACAACTAAAACTAGAACTAACACTAGCATTAGAACTAACACTAGATCTAGAACTAGAAATATTCTGGTTTAGCCATCTTAAGAGACGTACGGCTAAACCCGAATGTTTCTAATTCTAGGTCTAGCATTAGTTCTACTTTTCGTTCAATAAAAACATACAACAATTTAGTGCTGAATAACAATTAAAACTAGAACTACCGTCCCTTGATTTATACATCATATAGATAACATATTTATCTATGAATATGATAATATTAATAGTTATTAAGTCCGTTCTAACAAGGACTGTTATATCGAGGTTTTACGGTAATAGAAATTTTTTGTTTTGCCACAATACTTTAGAATCATCATGAATAAGTGGTTGCATGTAGCGAATTAGATTAAGTGGCTGTAGACAGAATAGATAATTAAGCTCGTCGATGGCTGATTGAGGGTCGTAAATTCGTTGGCAAACGAGGCACCGGTATTAGTTCGACTGCAAATGCAAATTCGAACGATAAGAAGTCGAGCAATCAACAGGTCAAATTGCGTTAGTTACGTTGTAAATAGTTAAACTGTACATACTTAACTGATAATTTAGCGCTTATTTTGCAGTAAGATTTTAAATTTATTCTGTTCGGTCATAACATAACATGAAATGTATTGGAATAACTTGGACGTATTTCTAAGAATTTTTCGCCGACAACGTCGCCCGTAGTAGAATTGAAAGCGAGAATCGAGCATAAACGAACGGATACGAGCGCGAATTTTTCACTTCGAGCTTCTTTATGCGGCAGCCGCGGTCGTACGTATAATTCCTTCGCATTATGCATTCGCCGAGCCTGTGTGCTACACCTATCGCATGCTCTGGCCGCGGACATCGATGTGTGATTTATCTCTCGTTGTTACACTTGTCCGACAAGAACTGAAAAAGGAACCGGACTAAATCGTACACTTTCTAACCGACCTGATCGATTTGCGTGTTTATTTACGCCGTTCCTTTGTGAGAACTACAGCCCCGTGTCAAGCATAAATTACAACATTTCTTTATTTTGACCACCATAAAGATTACGATATTAGTACAATAGATTCTAAAATGATCCTTAATTTTAATTTTTTCAGAAGAAAAATGCAAGTGATAACTCTCCGAGCGGTTGGCCATTGAGTTTAGGCACCTCCGCCATAGTTATCCATTTGGATAACATAGATCCTACGAGACTTCGCAACCAAGATTGCTATGTCTGCATCCGAGAATCAAACGGATCTGGCGGACAAGAGCTGGTGCTGATTTGGCGAACGTTGGATAACATCAACAGTTATAAATTAGCCGAGTGCGAAGACGGCGTAGCGAAGATGTGCTCAAAAATCGCCACAGCCGTTGATTTGGAATCGTACGTTACCTCGGACGATCATTGGGGCTCCCGCCAACTTCAAATGCTCCAAAATCTTTTGGTGACCATCGATTTTGTTGTTCATAGAGTCCCTTTGGATGACCTTACCTTCCCGTGTCCTCAGTGCCACCAATACAGTCCTTTAGAGTTCGGTCGCTCTGAGGAAAGTGTCGAGTGTTCGAGTCTTCCTTGTGCCTGTCAGTGTACGTGTCGTTTCGTGGATTCAGGTGTTTCTAAGAAGGACTCTTCAATACAAACCAGCCCTACTTTTGAAATGGTCGGTGGAATTCCACACATAGACAGCGACGAGGATGAAGAAAAAAGTTCATCATTCAAATCAGGTAATAAAATTTAGGATTATCTTTGTATGTTTATAATTTTGGTATTCGGGTGGTGCTATTTGTGTATTCGTTCGGGCAGAACGTCCGTCCTCGATGCATAAAACAGGAATTCGACTGACACAACTCCGGTCCCCGTGGGCGTCCGGACACTTTCGCTCTCGGAACGAACGAACGAGCGAACGCTTTGCAAATTCCTCTCTAAAACGATTAATTAGCAGTCGTAGCGCCTCGCGGGCGAAATTTAATCAATTACCGCTTCTAACGGCGAACTCTCGGATGTCATCTCGATAATTGCGCAGGAAAATCGTCGTCGAATGAGACGCGACGGTTACGTAGAAAGCAAACAACTACCGCGGAATCGCCGGTATTTGCGGTGAAATCGTTCGTCGATGTACCGAAACGAAAAGGAGAAGAAAAAACACTATATCTTTAAGGGGATTAAAGACCTGTTAGATCGTTTGTCATTTTCTACGGGTATCAACGCTATTATGGTAAATGAGGTGCTCTGTTATAAGTAAGTCAACCCCGTTTATATTTCGTTAATTGGCGCGCGTTTTTTTTTAAGAGGGGACCGATTACGAAGATTTCTTTACGAGTTTGTCGTCGTTTAGATTCAAGATAAGCACTCTCATTTTCTCGAGTCTGTCAGAATCGAGCCAGCGGCTCGTCGTGTCTAGCCGAAAGCGTAAATTGGACGACTTTTTAAAAGTATCAACTACGTTTTGCTCCACTTTCAACAACAACCTCAGTTTCAACTATTAAGCATATATGGCTTAATTGATAAAATTATACTCTTTAAAAATCACGATTTAATAAATATATAAGAAAAAATTTAAAAGAAATAACTTACCTTTGAAGATGATTTAGTACAAGAAGAAAGTTGTTGGAATAGTTTTTCCACAATTAAAGTTGCCGATCTGGTTTGAACCAATATTAACAAACAGCTGTCGAGTGACAACAAAAGCGTCGCGTGAAGTGAAAGGTGGAAAAAACAATTTAGGACGAGTTGAGTACAGCTGAGACGAGCCTCTTTCGTTTTGCCGACAACACCCCACGCTTTCCAAAGATTTAATTTGCTTTAAAAAAAAAATGAATCGTTTAAACTGTTTTATCTTTGCGTGACAATATGAGAAGTGGAAAGTCGTTTATCTCAAAAGTTTAAAAATTGATGATAACTTCCTCGTTTTTGATATAGAGAAAAATTATAATAATATTAATCGTTATTAAAAATCGTGGGAAAAGTTAAACGATCATTTCCCTTTGATATCATTCTCGCTGGTGGGTCTATCGGATCAGATTGAATCCAAATATGGGATCGTGAGCTTGATCACGACTGGCGAAACAATAGAAAAAACGTCTGGCGAACAATCGATGCCTGTGGCCGAAAATTTCCTCACAGCTGGTGGCGGAATTTCCTAAAATGGTATACCAACATCCTAATGGAATAATCTAAACATTTTTCAATCCCCTGGTTTGGTAGGCGTATATATTTGCAGCGTGGGCTCGCGTAATCGGGTTAGAACGTATGGGACAGGTGAAAATAAACAAACCATATGGCACATGCTGATTTCAAAACTCCAATTATTGCAGTTAAAGAAAAAAGAAAATAAAAGAAAGGTCAACCGTGACTTGGTTCTATGCACGAACCATGTATTTTAGCCTAAGGTGTTAACTATTTTTTTTTGATCATTCATTCTTTCTTGCGAACGGGTTCTCACAATCGAAAATTATTAACGCATTCTTCTCACCGTAGCGCGGAGAAATTCGACAGCGTTTGCAGGTGTAAAACCTCTCTGTTTTCGATATAATTTTTTTTCGCACTTTCTCTAATTGTAAACAGGAAAAAAATAATAAACTAAAGTAGAAACATTGATCTTATAATGGATAACATAATGAAGGAAGAGTATAAAATTGTTCGAACTCCTGACACACTTTAAATAAAATAACACCACCACCACAACTTTGCTAATCATTCACGTCTACGTTGACATTTATCTTGGATATTATTTGGAATATATGGGCCCGTAAATAATCGGAAATCGACGATTGTAAAGAATGGAATAAAGCAGACCAGTTTCTGTGCAGTAACAACCACGTAAAATTGCCTTGTTTTGAAACTCAATTACCGGAGGGCGACGCGATAACTTCGCATTAATAAAGTGTGCATTTATTTCAACTGCGAACCGGACTACCTACTTATACTACATGTCCACAACCTACATTGTATCGCTATCCGATAACGATATTATTACACTATCGCGTCGGACTCTACCATTTATTTTAAATAAACGTCAGAGTCCGTTATTTCAATTCATAAAAAAAATTATAGAGGAAATAATAATAACGCATTAACAAACAAATCAATCTTAATAAGTGTCGTATTAGTCAAGTGTTAAGAAAGTTTCATTCTTCTTTCCATTCTTATTTTCATTCATAATTTGATTTATTATCTTAATAAATTTATACCGTTAGAGAATGGAATATAGGAAATAGTTATTTTTAATTAATTTTAATTTAAATTTCATAAAGTTAAAATTATTATCTAGATCGCAAATTTCCGTCACCGGAAACTTTTTAAACATTCTAAAATTCGGTACGAGGTCTACGCCCATACACGACTTTCGCCTCATAACGACTTGAATGAGCGCACTAATGAATGGTCGGCTTTTTCTCTACCGCGGACCACGTGTGCCGGCTCTTGGTCGGGCACATATCGCGAATTGTTGGCGACATTCTAAACGACAGGTGGGCATAACTGCTCGAAGGTAGTCAAGGGGTGTTACGCCATAACATCGGCTTCTCTTGCAAAGGCGTAATGGACGCAAAAATGCCCCGCAACCAAGCTTACCAATCGATTACCATTAAGCTACCTGCTCATATCCTTTGCAATCCGATACGTTACCCACACGACAATTCCACACTGTCTATTTTAATAACCATAATATAATCGAGAAAGTTTACTAATTTAAAAGAGTTTACAACATTTCCACTCTGTTATTCTTTCGAGAATATTCATCATATTTAGGGTGGACAGATTTAAATCGAGAATACTTAATCCGAGAAGAAAGTTTTAATAGAAGTACTATTATAAAGTAATTATTACAAGTTTATTTTTGTTTCAAGACAAACCACGGAAAAGGGAGATCTCGGAAAATAGCGTAATAAGCTAAAAGAGTGGACACTTTAAATCTTAATTGGAGATCTTGCTTCATACCAGTGTCGATACATTAGAAGATACAAGTGTATCTGCTAAAACTTTTATGTTTTTAAGTCACTCATGTTAGTATGAATTTGATACTATTTTTGAGAATTAGTACTGTAGCAATCCATAATTCTTGTCAGCTGATTTCTGGTTTTGTGATCTATCTAAAACTTCTTATCTGGAACTTATTTAATATTGTGTGAATCTACACTAAATATAAACCCACTCCTTCTTCTTCTTACACTTGTTTTACACCTAATAGATTAAAGGTCTGTTGAATTCTAATTCGTAGCTGAAGTGTATCTTTTGATATGGACTTTCAGATCTCCTTCCATCTTTTGTGTGGTCTTCTTGGTGTTTGAATGCCTACTGGTATTTTCTCCAATACTATAATCGATAATCTGTTTTCATTCATCCTCTTGACACATGATTATACCATACCTTTCTTCTTTGTCTTCTAGATTTTACCACATCTAGTATATTAGTCTTCGTTTTCTGATATCTTTATTTCTTACCCAGTCTCTTCTAGTCTTACCAAAAAATTTCACTTAAGCATCCTGATAAAGATGTCACTTTATTGATCTGATTTTATAACCCTTTTGCTGCGTTACGACTGCTAAAGATATCCAGATCAAGATATTTAAACTTGTCAATTGAAATCACTTGTTTCACTATATTCAGATCATTAATGTTCATCTTTTGTCTTGTGTTCCAAATTCAACGACGACAAGTCTTGTATAATTTTGTTCAGTATCACATTAAACAGGATTGGAAATAAGATGCCTTACAGCTTATATAAATCTGACTGTTGCCGAAATATTAGCGATTGTGTGCCTGTTTTAATCTCTGTAATATTACCTGTGTTTAGAGTTAGATCACTTTCACAGTGTTAGTTGGTATTTCTTTCTTAATTACTTATCCCAGAATGTCTTCTAGGCATATTCTATCAGTGGAACTCGCCAAAACCGCAGGTAACACTTCTGTGCCAATTTTTTGGTATTTGTGTATACCATTGAGTTATATTCCTCCGTATGTTAAAAGCTTGTGAGATATATTGTCCACTTCCGCTGCGTTTCTATTTTTGAAGTCTATTTTTAAATATAAATTATGTAATTATTTAAATTAACATTCTACCACTTTCAGTTGGTGAATATCGATCAAAATTGATACAATACTACGATTTCACTCTAATTAACGTGTTTAGAGTTTGGTTGGATGAATTTGCCTTACTTCGAACAATTTTGTTTGCATACAACAACAGACATAAATCAAAAAACCGTATTTTTGACATTAGGGTTCCTGAAATATGGGCCATTGTCTTTGTCGGGTGATTCTATGTTCTACATACTATATTCTGAAAAATACAGCAAATATTATAATCATATAGGCTAGACATATAAGCTGTTATTATTAGATTTATAATATATATCTTCTTCTGCGTCGTATTCTCATGTTTATGAGCATTTTTTTACTTTATTGTGCCATAAAATGTGTCTCTTGAACTGCGGCTTGGTGCGGAGTGTCTGTTATCTCTTTTACCTGGTGAAATCTGATTATACGAGGAGATTGCGATAAATGTATGCCATATATTGTTTGGAAATGTTTTTCTCTGATATTTCTGAATTGCTCGTCAAAATACAAACAAATATATAGTTACACACATTTTTTTACTGTATCGTGCATTCAGTCCATAAACTTATCAATTTTTACATCAAATAAGAAAATGATTGTAGTTTTAAATATTTGTTCCTAGTCTACCCCTATAATCCTGGGTTAGTTTCTTGTCCGAAAAGGAAAG